GGTGAGGAATAGATCCCTTACTAAGTCAGCTGGGTTCAAACACGAAGGCAGTTTCTTGAGCCGTCGTTATTGACCGCCATCATCCTGCTTTCGCCGACGCCGCTAGCGTATCTAGTATCGCGTTTATGGAACGAGGAGTTGGAATGTGCAAATCTACATATATTGACACAAGAGCACAGGAAGAAAAACACTGGAGTATTAAAAATAAATATTTGCCGATATTTCTCTGTTGTAGATAGAAAAACAAACATAAAGTCAACATAAAGATTCCTGTGTTCTCTCAAAATGCATGAAATTATGAATGCTAGCGCGTAATTTGAAGAAAACTGCATCACGAGGAGTACAGTTCAAATAAAGAAGTTCAAATCATCCTCTTTTTGTAACTTTTACAAAGATATTCAGCGAACTGTTTTCTGCAATGCAAGTTACTCGTGTCTCATGCATCACGGAATGTAGAATGCTACCGGCTAATTTATTCCAGGCGAGGTCCCTGTTCTATTTTATTCTAGAATGCGCTCTATTTTCCCGGGATTCTGCCGCTATTTTCCGAGCGTCTTGAAGTTAATCCTCAGGGCAGACGTTCCTGATTCACAGGATCTGGGGACGGCAACTGAAATTTATAAATTCACATTCATATCTTCAGAGGCTTTGAGATTTAATCTGCCAGATTACGTTTGTATTTTGTTCTACGTTCACTTACAGGAAGACTTGGTAATTGTTATGGAAATTTAAGAGAAGTCAAGAAATTAATTCCATCCCGCCATTTAACTTTTAGCTAAACATTTAAAGCAGCGTCGACGCACAGCATTAAAATAGCTCAGAAACAGAGGAATGCATATCGTGATGTCATGATGGATATTTTACACTACAATTCTATACCTTTGTTGTTTGAGCCACAACAACTTTTTGAACGACACCTTTTCAGGTCGTAAAAGTTTGTTAACTCAGAACAAATGCATCATAAAAATTGAACAAAAGCTTGCAATATCCCTGGTACTATGGCTACGCCCGCCAGGCATTCGAATGACACTTTTCTAGTTCGTATGGCAGATTTCTTTGTGGACGGTGAATGCATGCATGTTTTATAGCAGTTTCCCCTTTGCAGTTAACAGGCAGTGAAGCTTGGCAAACCTTTAGGAAGCAGGGAGCGCTTTCAACAGTAACTGTCATAGTCATTCACCTAAAAAGCTCCCAAATAACTGCACGTAAGGCCATCCCAGGCTGGTGGTGGAGGCGTTAGGCCCTGAATTTCTGACACAGCGAGATTGCGCTTCAGTTCATGCACTCCACTTGATTAGCGTCACTTTTGGCGAAGGTGTTTTTCGACAGTGCATACTGAGGGAAAATTTGTTTCGTAAATATAAACTGAATCCATTCAAGATTCAGCATGGTCAATGGATAAATGATGTGGAAAAATTCTTATTTCATCATTCAAGAGGAATGGCAGCAAAAGAGCAATGTTTAGGAACGGTTTTGCTGGTGATTGTTCTTCTTTATGAGACTTTCCCTAAAACGCGTACCTCGGAGACAACACAAAAATTTTGAGCTCTCATCAAATGATTTCAGCTCGTAATAATTGGATCTGAGAATCAATCCCCTGAATAGCTTCATGAAGTTCCAAATTCTGTCAAATACCGTGTGATTTGGCCAATTATTCTCGCATGGAAAGGTCGGTTGCGCGTTTCGATTCACCAGTAACAGTTTTATCGTAATAAAAATTTGGTTCTACCAATCACAGGACAAGGCTTTTGGGTGGGGGAGGGCAACGGGCTTCGATTCGGAGCCTCAATGCATGAATAGTTATTTCTATATATTTTTGCCCGCGTAATTGAAGTTTTTGTCCACTTGGGGTATAAATAAATGGACTCACAACACACACCACCAGGAGGTGAGTGTCTGGTATTCCTGGTGGCAAGTGTCCCGTCAGTTTGTAATCATTTTGACTGGACTACTTCCTTGACTCGTATTCATTCAGTGCATCTTCAGCTGTCTGCAAGCCTTACAGGCAGGCCAATTGGATGGTTCGTTCGCTTTAGTGAACACACAGCGCTCCGTATCGTGTGGGAGATCTTTATGCTAAACGAGTATGCCATTATATCAAATTAACGTTTACGATAAAAATGCTACAAAGGTGAATGGGTTGCAATAAGGCCTATTCATTTTACAGCCATTTCAATTTGAAAGTTACAAAAAAGTAATAAGTATTAAATTTTAGCTTCGAGTCTTTGGTAAATGATTGTTATCTCCTAGTAAAATAAATTAATGGCCTGGTTTCGGTGGGATAAAGTTCTAACGAAGGGCGAATTAGTCGAAAATATAACACCGAATTCCTGAAAGGATTTGTAAGACATGGAGATCGATGCTTCCATCACCGAGTTTCCTATTTTAACTTCGTAATGCGTAGACAATGTACTACGTACTCGTGTATGCCTATTAGATCACAAAAAATGGACAAATTCGGGAAAGATTCAGCTACATCCTGTCCTTCAGAAGTGCCCTGCAGGCTTCGCGTTAATTCATCCTCATGCAAAACAGCCGCGAGTACGTTGACCCGAAAAACAGGTAGTCCCGTTTTCAGATGTCTTTTAACTTATTCCTAGGGCGTAAAAGTATACGGGTAAAAAATGCTGCAAAATTTGTCAAATTTCTTGCCGTACGTTTGGGTAGTGAAAGGGTTTCCTTTGTTGCCCAGAACACTCACGCGAGATACCGCCCCCGACCCCTTCCTCGCCTCGTCAGTTTCTTATCGGCCGTATTGAAGAGCGTGCAATTTTTCACGAGAGCCGCCGCTGTACCAACACAGCGAAGTGACCCTCCACGAGTTTGATGTTTGCTCATCATTTGCATGGCATTAAATGAGCCGTGGGCTGATGTAACCGTCACGCTTTGTTTCTAACCGGATCCTGTATAATTTGATAATCAGTAAAAATATTGAAAGTTTTAAGGTTCTGTTCAATGAAATAAAAGGAATGATATAAATTCAAGAAGATTCCGATTTGTGAGTCACTGAATGTTTGAAGCAACTCATAGTTTAAGTTGCTAACTTAAATTAACGAAAGTAAATGAACAGCTTTAGAAATAATTCCTCAATTGTGTTACCAAGCTTCATATTGATAGTTTTAGAATAGTTGTTTCACTTGTCGTGTCGTTGGAATTCTCTTAAGTCCCAATTAGTTCAAGACAAAAAATGAGATTTTAACCAAAAAATTTCATTTGAAAATGATTTGGTCGTTGCCCCTAAAATCCTCATTGTAATAGAACGTCCTATTGATGGCCGACCACCACAATCGGACTCTGAGGAGCAATTCATTCATTTGAACTGTCGTTGATTTGGGGAAAATTGGGCAGGCGACAAATTGATTTGGGCTGAGGAGAAGTTCGGGACAGAGACGAGCCACGAATGTAAAGCGGACTCGTGCGGTCACAATGAGACGAGCTGAACAAATCGGAAAATCTTGTATAATTTACAATTCCAAAGACTTGCCTTCGGAACGATAAATATAGAGAGACGATGATCTCAATGAAAAACTTAGTTTCAAGCCCATTTATCATTTTTTATCACTAATTTCACGTTCCAGTAACAAATTTTTGATAACTGTCAGTCGTTCCACTTATTTTCAGATCCAAGAAAACATTTGTACACGCTGCAGACTTTGATGTAATTGATATGCTGAACTTATACTTCATACAAACAACATAGTTATCACCCCTGCTCTTTCTCGGGCCACTGGAGAAAGATGATCTCTTGGCTGTGGGACAAACTTCATGTAATGAATCGTTGTGGCCAGTAATTGGAGTAAGAAGATCCGATAAACCAATATCGGGAGCACCCAAAGGGCTCAAAATTTACGAGTCTCTCGATTATTCTTCCATTTCACCGCAGGATCTCACCTCAAGGGGCTGCTCGATACGTCATATCAGAGTGATGAAGATATTTTGTACTCACACGATTTTGCTCACACGATTTTGTTGACGACTGAGAGTTTTGTTCGGGGTCACCGTTGCGTGTGGATAATTTTATAACTTTTTCATGGCAATTTTGAAAATTTTTGTCTTCCTAAATTCGAAGTGAGTCTAAATAGTGGTATATTAAAAGCTCGCTTCTTAATAGCAAAATATGTCTAACGACACACTGCTGTTAGTAATGGTAATTTCTAGTAATGTTTTTTTTCTCTGAATATGATTTTAAATAAAATACAGATAAAAACGTGAATATTTCCAATCTTGCAGGTCGAAATAATAAAAATATTTTGTTAAGAAATTCATGGATGGTTTTTTCCACAAGTCCTTCATCGTGTCGATAGTTTTTTTCGCGAGTTATTAACTCGTTTCTATTCTTTACTATTCGAAAAATCATGTTCACAGAATATGTGAAACAGAAAATGGTACAGCAACTCATCAATGTCTTCTGGAGACCGTTCCTTGAGTCAGCATACCAAACATATATTTTTTAGCTTCTCTTGTACTTCACCCTTCATATCAATTAAAAAGCGCACGTATATCTGCCCAGGAGTAAAGGAAGTGCTGTCTTGTTACCCAAAAGTTTTCCCGTTATCTAACTGCGGTAGCGGATTTTTTAAGTTGCCTCTCGGCTGGAGCGAACTCTTGTTTTTTGCTCTGATAACGAATGCGCGTAATTACTTCCTTTTGCCCCGAGTTTGGGAACGCTTGTGACCACCAATTTTTGCTCTCCGGGTTCCGGTGCTGCAAATGAAGTGCGATGAAAGTCATGGATGTTCACACTCTAGCCTTGGTGGTGAATATGTATTTTTTTTACATATTTTTCATTTAAGATGTTCCAGTTACTTGGTATAATGTCGATATCCCGCACACAGCACCATGAGAACATGATTGAAAAAATCAATAAACTTATTTCATTTGTTGATAAAAGCGAAAATAGATGTGTGATCAAGTTCATTTGGGTAGTTGTATTTAATTTGCTTTGAACAGAAGTCAACATTATATATACTGACATTACTGAATTCTTTATTGCAGGTATTAGAATGAACAGGTTAGTGTTGAATTTTCAATCTAGGAAAAACGTGTTTTCAGAATTGAGTGTGACAACTATGAACGCGTACGGTCAATGAATGTATTGTAGTAACAAGTTCAGAGAGTGCACGACTGTTTTATTCAAACATGTCATTGCGAGGGCAAGAGTGGACACTGGCTAACAAACTCGCTCGTATCAGTGTATTCGTATTACTGCTATTTGGTACGGAAACTCATTCTTTGAAGCCAGATGATCGGGCGGCTGAACAGCGAAGCCAACCAGGGCGCTTTTTCAATAGCATTTCTGCATCGGAAAGCTTCCCGTTGGACATGCAGCTCGTTCATTCACCGCCCGACGACATCGATGGCCGATACCTGGATCAGGCTGAGAGACGAAAAAGTCGAAATTCCTTGCAAGAAAACCGATCTAAAGTATCCGATTTGGCGGCAACTCATCTGTCCTACAGACCGGAAGACACAGCCACCGCGTTTCAGAACAAGGAAGCAAACAAGAAACGGCACAGCGATCGTGAGAACGACATGGCGAAAAATTCAGAAACAAACAGAGGTTTGAACTCAAAGTCACCAATGTTCGATCCCTATAAAGTACAGCCTGTAAATGGTAGGAAGCCACTTCTCTCGAGCGCACTCTCTTCCTACTACTTACCTGTCAAATATCCTGATGGAGGCTCTCTAGATTCACACGAGTTCGTACCTAAGCATTTCCCTCAAAAGGTTGAGTACGGAATTGAGGGACGTGAGAACAACGCTGCATACGAGCGCATTTCTGCCACTAGCGAGCAAGACGATCTCATCAGAGCGTCTCTGACGACCACTGACTCGGTCATGCATGCGAATCTCGGTGACCGCAACCGACACACCAGGAGCAAATCTGCAGCCCGCAGGATGGCGGTGGGACAAGGAGTCCTGCGCAACGACGGCTCCAGCGGCAGCCATGGAGACGAGGAGCCGGTCGACCCAAACGAGGAGTTCAAAAACAGTGAGTAATTCGCAACCTTATTGTATCTCTGATTTTAATTTTAATATTTATCTGACTTAATTTTGGTGATTATCCCGTTTTTGCTTTGAATGTTATAGTGTAAGTTGCCTTTAAAATTACATAGTTACAACCATTTCTAAATTGAAAAAAACAAGCGAAGAAAATTATCATCGTAGGTGTGATTGAAAAAACCTTAAACTTGCTTCAGTGGCGCTCCAACGCTCGGAATTCCCATGAGGACAGCGATTTAAATAATGCCTGTAAAGTTTCCGTGATGTACGCGCCTTTAATGGCACATGCAATATTAACTCCCATTTCTGCTGAGCAAAATGCCTCAATTCCTTTGAAAATCGCGTAGCAAATTTTCTGAGCGCGTATATCTCGCTGCTGTGTCCGCCCACCGGAAATTTAAACAACGCCTCTAAATTGAGAGCGCGGGAGCCTCTCTGCTGTATCCGAGCGATGTTCAATTTGTGAGTACTTTGTACCATTAGAGTTGCGTTCAGCAACACCATTATATGGCATTTTGCCTGCATAAATAATAATTTTTATCTATTTTTGTTTTCAAATGCTGAAGACTATTTTGTTTAACATAATCTTTCCTAAAATCAAATGGAAAAAAAATGCGGGGAAATAAATTTATGATTTATTGAACTGGACAAATAATTTTTTTGCATCCTAGGTTATTATAAAGAGTTTCACAGTAGTTTGAATTTAAATGTAGCGGGAAGTAATATGAAGAAGCATCTTCTAAGATAACACTGTAGTCGTTTTTTATTTACATTATTTCAGCATTATAAAGCAATTGGCTTATATAATTCTCATTTTTTTTTCGAGCTTGTAGTTACACAAAATTCCCTTTGACAGCTCAATCCTTCGACTTGGGTAACGCTTATTATATGTCGGATCAGATAACTGTTTTTTGCACATGTTTTCTGGTGCCGTTGGCCCCATAACATCTGCAAATGACAGTTACTGTAATCCACGTATGCCAGTCGGAGAAAATTCTGGCGAACAGAGAACTGCACCATGCACGAGCAGTCAACGTCTGGAGATCTTCGTGAAATATGGAGATTTTCGGAGAGATCTTTCTCCGCATATGAAGCGATCTTTCATTCTGGAGATCTTCGGTGTAACTTAGCTCCGATCTCTTGATCTTTCTGTGTGACTTAAATTTCAGGTTCATCACGATATATTGTTCGATAAGTTACAATGAAGTTAAATTTGATATTTTAATGTCAAGATATTCATTGTTGGACAAGAAGCCATTATGACTAAAAAATTATGAACCATGGTTCTTAAGTATTTTTTGTTTTGAAATAATTGCTATAAACAGTTCATTAAATTTCTCATTTAGTTTACTCATAATGCTTCAAAATATCCACCGCAATAACATTATAGGTTGATACAGACGACACTGCTCCTCAACCAGCGGCGAGGTCTGGTGTGACCACTGACTAGTGGTAGAGGTCTATCGTGGTTTGGTATGACCAGCGGTAGAGGTCTGGTATAACCAGTGGTAGAGGTCTGGTGTGACCAGTGGTAGAGGTCTGGTGTGACCAGTAGTAGAGGTCTGGTGTGACCAGTGGTAGAGGTCCGGTGTGACCAGTGGTAGAGGTCTGGTATGACCAGTGCTATAGGTCTGGTATAACTAGTGGTAGAGGTCTGGTATAACCAGTGTTAGAGGTCTGGTGTGACCAGTGGTAGAGGTCTGGTGTGACAATATCATTGACCTGGTTTGATCGAGCTAGGGTTAGATGTCTGCTTGCCAGACTCACAGACCCTACATTTGCTTGTCAGACTCTCAAGACCACCATTTGCATGCTGTGAGAGTATTTGTATCCCGCAAGGATGTGCGTCCTATGTACAAGCTGGTACAACCTTTAATTGAAGGTATAGCCAATGTAGGAGCGGAGGCAGTAGCTCTCAAGCTTGATCGCGCTGACTCGAGCTACAGCAGACAAGCCCTAACTGTTCAGGTCGTCTTCCCTCTGAGACCTTCACGATTTTGATCTATTGTACAATTTCATGCAGTTTGTGGATAACTCCACTTACAAGACTGATTTATACTCTGAAATCTAGCTTTTAAAATATTCCAAAAAGACGCACTGCCATTCATCGGTTAATTCACCTTGAGATTAGGCCGAGCCTAGTTGCGAATGCCGAACGGACCTACTGCAGAGCCCCAGCTTTCTTTAGCACTTACACATGCAAGGCATAAAAATCCGGCATAAACATCTAAGTGGATTAAGCTTGAACATTGCAACCGGCACATGCCGGCACCGGCCCACCTTCAGCAAATAATGAAGCAATTTCTCCCACTTAGTTGTCTCCAGTAAACAATTCAGCGGTATTGCACAATGTAGGCAGCAATTTGCAGTAAGAACCACGTACGGTGCAAGCAAATTGATTAACGGAAAGTAGAGGTTGATATTCTGCGCACAATCTTCTTGTGATTCCTGTGTTCAATAATTGTGCAGGAAACGGCTTGGGAGATCGAGGAATAACAGCTGCCGGCAACGGAAACTACAGCAATAGAAATGAAATGTTGGTTTTGCTAGAAAATATTTTCACGGAAACGCAACATTGAGTATTAAGAAAGCATTCTGAATCATCAGCATTCAAATGTTGAGGATTTTGTAAGTTCCATCCTATAAGATGATCAAAATTGCACCAGAAAAGTACAATGTTTATACAAATAATGACATTGTATGATCGAAATTCTGCATTTTAATAGAATTGTAATGTATTTAAAAGCAGAAATCGGGTTTAAGTGCAGCCCTGAGTTCGTATCAATTTAAATCGTTAATAGATAGGTTTTGCTTTTTTGATTTTGATTTGTTGTACTTTTCTCTACTCACTTTTAATATTTTTATTTATTTATGAACTTCTACTCTAATATCAGCTGGTTAATTGTGCGCACATTCTAAAATTTTCGGACTGACCATGGAGCTGGACTGCGAAACGTTCTCTCTGAAAGTATATTACATTTTTGTCAAATTTATGTGATTTTATATATCTGCTTCTTCATTAAAACAGAAGATAAGCTTTGATATTCTTCAGCGTATGATATAATACTCGTATGAAATGAATATAAAGATGAAATTTTCGCGCAATTGAATCGCTATTTGATTAACAAATTATTGGGGGGAAATACATCATCAGGTAAAAATACTGTTAACAATAATGTGCCTTGAAAATGATTAATTTTTTGATTTCGACTCAACAGAACTCAAATTCAACGCTCGTGGTTATCTACTTCAATTTGCGGTAACGCTCAACTGTTAATATTCTAAATTTACATTGGCCTTAAATTTGCAAAAAATTTTGTACTTTCAGATGAAGCTGAAAAGAAAATTTATTAACCTGCAGCACAGTCTTTTAATACATTAATTGTGTGCTATGTGGCCATCCTGCGCGTTTACTGATAAATGTGATTACTCGTCGACGTTAACGCTCTGAGTATTGCGCGGATACTAATTTCAAACAAGACACAAAAAAAATTCGGTGCAAGTAATTATATAATAAAAGGAGAGGTATTTCCATTGGGGGTTTACTTACAATTTTCTAAATCGTTCCTCCGTAAAAATATCGTAAAGCGTGGAACGCTGTTTGCGAAAACAATTTGTTCCGCGCTGCAGTTCCTAAATCAAAAATGTTCAAATTGAAAAGTGTGCAATTACAATTTAGCTCCAGGAACATTAGATTTTTCATTCTAAAATTGCTACCTTCGTTGCTCAATTGTTTTGCAATAATGTTTAAAAAAACATTGTAAATTTACTGGAACTTTTTACTTTCTGGCAACGAAAATGTTGTAAACATTAAGTTCGGTACCACCGGCAGTCTACGCTTGGTTTTCGACACTGATGATCTCTGATTCAATGCAAGTAATGACGAATGTGGTAGAAACACATTTGATATATTAGAAATAATCTTATAATGATGAAGCAACACATTGGTTTATTACAAATAATCTTATAAATATGAAGCAACACATTCTATGTTATAAATAATTTTATAATGATGAACAAAACATTGTTATATCAGAAATAATTATAATCTCTCACGAACAGCTCCGTTAGAAACTTTCCAGAATGTTACAGCTGTTACAATAACGAAGGCAATTACCTTAACTTTGCTGGTGGAACTTCCATCGATATCGACAAATTTGAAGTCTTGAGACATTAATTCAAATTGTGGCAACCTTTATGAACAGCATAAAATTTAAGATATCTTTTACCATAAAGAAAGTTTGACTCGGTTTTACATCGTCATCAGCAACTTCAGTTCGTAGCTTTCCACCAAGCCTGCAGTAGACTTACATGCACTCATCTCACCTGCAAATTAAATATTTATTTTACAGCGCCAGCGCTCGGCAGGTCATGTGCCGAGTGCAAGTTTTTAGGCCAAGTTTTAAACTCCGCGCAGAATTTGAGAAGCCTCGGCTAAACATTTTCCGGGATGGTTTGTGTTGCTGAAAGTTTCCATTGTTGAGTCAAATTTTTGTCGTCACATTACTGCATTTTAGAAAACCTTGAGGTGAAGCGGAAAAGTTAAAGAAGCATTTCTGCTTTACTTGCAAGCTTGAATATTGAAATTTGATACTTCAGTAGGTGAAAATGTTTCGGATATATTTTTTTAGTATTTCGATGTATTTTTATTTCAATTTGTCAAAGTTATAAAAATATTTTATCAAAAAGTTATCAAAATATTTATTATCGTGGGTTATATGACAGTACGAAGATTCATCCGCTTGTGCTTAATTTTGCTCCGTATGAAACGAACATTATATGAAGAGCTTCTAAAATAACATTGAGAAGGGCTTTGTCTAAGACCTATTTCTAGTTTGTTGTGCCGCAGTAGCGACAATTTAATATTTTAAATAGCATTAAAAGTTTTAGCTTTTTTCGCTGAATTTGATATCACCCAAACAGGGCTAATTTGTTATTTAAAAGGTATTGAAGCTGTATTTGATTAAATCAGTTGATCCATGAGTTTAT